ACAATAATAATAAATAATAATAATAACAATAATAATAATAATAGTAATAATAATAACAAATAATAATAATAAATAACAATAACAGTAATAATAACAAGAAACTGTAATGTTTTGAAATATTTATATTTGCATGAGTCATTTTTGTGCACTTTAAAATGTTTTTTATGTCATTTTTCCCACTAAACAAAAATTGTAATCCCTCCTATTTTGCCCATATTCTCACTGAAAAAATTTTTAAAAAAGTCCAATTTTATAGACATTACTTATAGCATAGTACAAATTGAAACAATACTTTTTAAATAATACATTTGGAAAATATTTGAAAAATTATCCCAAAACTTTTATTTTTTTAAATTAAAATTATTAAAAACGCCTAACATTTAATGCTAAAAAAAAAGATGAAAAAAAAAATTGCAAGGAAAGGATGTGTGAACTATATGTTAGGATTTGGGGGAAATAAAAAAAAAAGAAAAAAAAGAAAATCGGAATTTATTTGAAATATTTTGGTAAATAAATGACTGATATATTTGAGGTATGATAATAACAGTAATATATATAGTAATTTCATTTTAATAAATGGTCCATTTTTATTTAAATTTAATTTTCGTTTCAAATTCATTCTTTCCCATCCTTAAAAAACGATGACAGTAACATTTTAAGCAAATTTATTTTAATGCAATTTTTTTAAAATTTCTATAGGATATAAACAAGAAAGAAAATAAAAAATAAAAAAAATAATTTTGCTTGCTCTTTTAATACTTCTACTAAATGATTCATTCGATATGTTAAAAAGTATGGCGACAATATTTCCATTTTTGGAAAATTTTTCGTTTTTTTTTTATTCGAAACTTCTGTTGGATAAAAATTAATTCTTTGCATTATATATTTTAATATAGCATCTTTTCCTTCGAATTTATTTATTTTTAATTTCCAATTGATAATTAATATATAATATGAATTATTAAAGAATGAATGAAAAGTGTAGTTGGTGAATTATATTTCACGGTTAATATTGTATATTACAACTTAAATATTGTATATTATAATTTAATTTAGCAAAATTCAGTTTTATAACTTATGTATAATTAATAAAGTTAATGTTGTATATTATTATATGTATAAATGAAAATAATAACCATACAAAATATGACTAATTATGTTTAATTTTTTCAACTTTTCTGATTATGCCTAAATTATTAAAATGAATTTTGCTAAATCAATTTGAATTTATTTAACGTTTTAAAATATTTCATATACAGGAAACTTTTAAACCACAATTTTTAGCTTTCATCGTGCTTATTTAACATTTACTGTAATTACAAAAATATTATGGTTTGTTTGTGCGAAAGTTGAATTCCTAATTTGTCCATGATTAAATTTTAGGAATTAAAAAAAAATTGATTCCAAAATTTAAAAATATTATTGGTAAAATTAATTATGGTTTTTCAATTCTTAAGCAAAATTTATGCTTTAATCAATAAATAAACAAAAACAAAAAGTTTAATTAATTTCTTATTAATTACTTCATTCTTTTATAATAATTACAAATATTTCATTGATTTTAATTTATACTTTTAATTAATAGTTTCCCATTTTAACAAATGTTTTTTCATATACTTTTCATAAAATTGCGTGATAATTAAAAAATTTTCGATGATTGTAATTTGTTGAACCATTTATATCCTTTTATTACATTTGACATCATCAGATATTCTTTTTAAAATCTATTTTTAAATCATTTTTTTTAAAATTGCAATCAAAACTGTGTCTGTTTTCAATCTCTCAACCCAACCTATTGAAATTAAAAAAAAACAAGTCTCAACATTTTGCAATTAAATTTTGGAAAAATTGAAACTTTAGAAACATTTCAAGTATTTTACATTTTACATATTGCAAAGTAAAATAATTTGTATTTAAGTATACGTTTTTATTTTTATTTTTTACTAAATTTAAGTGTAATTCAAACAATTCATTGATTACCTGCAAGATAATAAAAGTAAGTTGCGGGAGTAATAAAAAAAAGGGAAAATTAAGTTAAAAATTTATGGATGCTAATTTTAGGCTTTTTATTTGATGAAATTATATTTAAGCAAATAATTTCCTGGAATTGGCTTTCCGGAAATTAGCTCATTTTCAATTTTTTTTTTATTAATTCTGAAATTGATATAATAAATGGAATTTTTTTTTTTTTTGCATAACTGCAAACTTCATGCTAAATTACAATGCACAACTATAACTGGCTTATTAATTGTCATAATAATGTAACGAATGTATTATTTTGAATTTCACAAAATATCATCGAATCATTTAATTAAATACTCTTATTTGTAATTAATTATTGAAAAGTGAAAAAATCTGTAAAAAGTATATTTCAATTCGAATCATAAATTATGTAATCAAAATGATTGCAAATACTTATGCAAAGTAACGATTGTGAAGTGTAGTAAAGCTGAACAAATTAATTTGAAATTAAACAAATTAATTGAAATTTATTGAAACAAATTAATTTGAATTAATATGAAACAAACTTGTTTGGATTCAAATGAATTAGGTATGATTAAATTGGATGAAAATGATTGCAAAGAATTTGAAACAAAATTGAATTCAATAGGAAAAAAAAATGGATTTAATTTTAAATGAAATTATAAATTGATCAACAAATGATTGGTCATTTCTACATTAGCTACAATCATCTGAGAACTAATTAGAATAAGCAAATTGGCATGGAAATGATATAAATGATAAGGAAGATAAAAATATCAATCTTCTGATAATATATAATTGTTGAGCAATATGGCCAAGTTCAACTGTGCTGCTAATTTTTGTTGTTTTTGCATTTGTGTCAACGATTATCTCATTCTCGTTTTGTGATCGAATATGCGAATGGATGCCATCTGAAAATTTTAAGTCTTTCCCAAATTATTGACATCATTACATTTTTCCCGTAATTCTCACGTAATGTTTACGTTTCTTCTTATGAACCATTAAGGTTACGTGTAAAATGTAATGTATGAAATTGACATGAAGAAGAATATGTCCAATTCTATTTATTCTTGTAACTTTTAAAATTACCATTTTGATTAAATTTGATTATGGTTTTAAATTTTGTTAAAAAAGTATTTCTCCACATTTCCATTATCATTTATTTTCTTTACTTAAATGCTTCGGTGAAAAGAAAAAAGTTTTATATTA